ATTTTAAGACTGAACATATGCTCATGCATGGCCTTGTCTTTATCACCTTTATATCCGCCACGAAATTCAAGCAAGCAACAATCGCTGATGTGCCACGAGACCTCAGGCTCGCCACTCAATCATCCTCGTGGCTTATCTGGCCAGCCGTCAGGGTGCTGTCCAGAGCACAAGGATGTTTGTGTTGGAGTTGTGAAAAATCTAGAAGACACCTCATTATGACGCAACCGAGAAGCGTTTAACACACGTCTAACTGTTCATACACGCCCACACAAACTGATGCTATCGGGAGGGCAGGGTGATGACCACTTGTTTGCTCGCTTGTGCTGCCGTGAATCTTATTCTAATGCTTTATTTGAATCGTGTTTTGTTCATTATCCTTCAATGGCATTGTAGACATTGGATTGCAACGATGCATTAATCCATTGTAGTGTAAATTTAGCAAGCCTGTATAAAGTGTACATTGTGAAGAATGCATGCATCATTGGGCAACTTAGAAGTCGCTAGCAAATTCGTACCCTCGATGTCTTTACAAGAATATTTTCTTGATTTATAGTGGGGTCGAATGTAAATTCCGACTAAACTTGCGCTCGTTTGAGCTAAAAACAAATAATATGCGTTTAAAAATTACTTTTTAAAGACAACACTTCCAAAGAATCCAGTGTCTCCAATCTTACAAATGTACAATGAATTTCTCATTTAATTTTCAAATTAAAAAATTAGTATTAAATTTCGATTACAAGATTTGTAGCAGACAGACAGACAGACAGACAGACAGACAGACAGACAGACAAACAAGAAGTGAAGTTAAAGAGAAGTGTTGTAAAAAAAATGTATCATAAAGTTTATCATAGACAAGCAGACCTAAAATTTAGGTATAGGATGGGAAAATTTGTTCTTTTAAGCAGGTTTGATTGAAGACCAGAGAATTTGTGTTGTTGACAATTCTCTTATTAGTTTTTCAATATATCGAACAATATTATTCGTATGCGTTGGAAAATCGAAAATCAGGTTACTGAAAGACATTATAATGTGTTAACAACGTTAGAGTACTAGTATTTTGTATATTTTTTTCGAAATGTTGATGAAATAGATCTCCGAAATGTTTTCAACGACGATATTTTTAATATACTTGTTGTTTCCTTTGCTGTTGAATGCTTGGTGAACTTGCGATTCAAGCAAACTAATGATAAAAGCTACACGAATTACGCACTAAATTCAATAAATACTTACAACGGGTAGAACTCTACCCCACTAAAAACTTCCTACGTAATGCTTGATTTCCAGCGTACGCAACGAATAAAATTCAAATAAATTTTATGATCGGAATTTTTATATAGGCTATGGCTGTCCATGTCGAAATAGCCTTGAGACAATCTTCAAAACCTTGTTTTAAAGGCCAATAACTTCAAGACCCAACTTCACACTTTATCTATCTTAGTGCAGATAAATACGTCTATCTTGGTACAGATGCATAAAATTTTCAATAAGAAATGTATTCATGCAATTTTCGATAGAAGACTATCATTGTAGTTTATTTGTTCAATAGCGTAAATCGGCAAGGAGAGGTCACGTGGTCGGAGGACCTCTCGCTTATATGTGTGCTGGAATTTTGCAAGCCTTGTAATTTTCTGTGCATCTGTTAGACATAAAGGAGTGAAATATTTCTTCGTGACTTCTACGGTCGGGAAAATGAATATGGAAAAATATTGCAAGGAAACGAAGGAAATTTGTACATTTACATACCGTTGTACATTACGTACAATCTACATTGTACATAACATACGATCTGAAATTTGTACATTTACATACAATTACCTTGTTTCAGAAATTTTCTCGTGTTCCAATGAAAGCCTGGCTCAGTGGAACTACAGTGAGTCCTGTCCTGCCGGCCTCAGTTCAGTCATGGTGAGTCTATAATGTATGTGCAGTAACGTATTTGCATTTATTTTCCCTATAAAAACCAGTTATGGTATTGAGTTCCGCTGTGTTACCATGCGCAATAGAATTCTTTAGCTTCCTGTAAACATTAAAAATCTGTTAGTATGCATAAAATCTGACTGATTAATGCGGTGATACAACAAACAATATAGGATGACACTTAATATTTTTTGCACGAATTGTGCCTTCACAGACAAATCAAGAACACTAGAAATGTGCCTGGATATCGAGTGTGTGACTCTGCCCTCGAGCGAGTTGGTATTATGGGGACCATTTGTTTAGTAGCTATGCAGTTTTGTCGTAATGAAAATAATGATGTGAATTATAATGGCAATAACATATTAATTAGTTATAATGGCGATACATTAATTATATAGGCAACCAAAATTTATTCACAAATTATCAAGAACTTCAACCGAATAATTCGATTTTCTCAGCAAACAAATCAATTGCAAATGGTCATCCAATTAAATTGGCTGTTGCATGCTGAATTCAAATATTCCTTAAATCTTCCTCTGAACTCAACGTCAAATACAGGTTAAACGTTAGGTACGGAACCTCGTTGAAGTTTGCAGCATCAATCCGCAATTTCTCTCGTTAGAGTTTTGATCAATATTGTGGGTGAACAATATTGTTGGTACGGTAAATATGGCTCTACTCTGGTTCAAAGCTCATTACTATCCTACTTACATGCTTCCAATTTGCACACTGTATCGTAGTTTTTAATCCAATTGATTATAGTAACTTCTGTGCCAAGTGAAATTTATTAAATCGCGAAATTTATTTTAATACGATTATTTTATCGATTTACACCAGAGCGCGCGACATCAAGTGAATAATGATCACGGCATACGGAAGAATGAGCGTTGATGCATCCAGTGTGCTAAGTTTAACTCGCCTCTCTTTCATGTACACTTCATAACAGTCACGTGAGTCAGGCAGCACCAGCATGGAAGTGATGGAGCGGCCGTCGCAGATACGACTCCATGAGATACACCTGTCAGGACTCTGGTCAGCAGATACCTGCCATTGGTAGACATGTTAATGACCTCTTGTCACTTGCCGGCGCCGCCCGACGCTGCCGCGACTGTAAGATGCGAGGAGCGCTGATGCTTCATTTAGATTGAAAGAAAAGTCTCTGATAACCTCCCACACATGATTAAAATCTAACATCATATTCTGCTCATTTGTTCAGGGGCTAGAGTGTATTGTGGTATTTTCAAATGTTTTCGTAAGACCGGTAGAATTTTGTATGATAAATTATAGGTGGTACATTAGGTTGTTCTATATAACATCTTTTGTTGTCCAAAAAATCATAAATATTTCAAAACAGATCAACGAGCTATCAGTTGAAGATTCAATTGAATGGGATTCGATTTAAAGTTGCGAACTAACCCTAGCCACCCGTTTAGGTAGCTCAGAATGTCTCAATATTTGAGACAGAAGTGACAGTTAATAGTATTACAAACTTCGACCACAAAAATATGCAAATAACTTTTTGAACAATATGTCGTCAAGTTGCCAGTAGATATGCCTCGGAGTTCCTGTTTAAACTAAAAACCGCAATCAAATTTTTTCTATTCTAGTATAAAATAACTTTAGAATTCGATGCCTCTTTTAGATTTTCTCATTTCCCATTTTGAAGTAAATCGAAAGACTGTACTCGGACCAACCTCTGGCCGAAATATCGATCCTCGCTGTCGGCGATGAATCATAAAAAAATGAAAAAAATGAACGAAACTCTGCTCGCAATAACGTTACTCCTCCATTAGAGTTATAATAAAACTTTTCAAATGTTTCGCACGTGAGTTTAATATCACATTGTGTTCAATATTTCTGCCGCTAAACTCACAGATGCCGCCAAGACTGGCAGTTAGCTGACAGCGCAGGCTATCAACACATTGCAGACCTCCGCGAGAACTGAAATAATTCTTGTTTATATCAGAGATGGAATCAATTACTTGAAAAATTTTCTATTTGTGAGTCGGTCTCTGGAACACTCCAATGGCCGTTTATTACGTGGCTGTAGATTACGTGGCAACGATCACTTGGTCGTAGCCACGGTCTGAAATAGCCACGGTACGTAATAATATCTCTTGTGAACTGCCCAGGTTTGGATGAAGTAAAATAGATACTGACCAGCAACGTAAAAGGGAATGAGTCTCTCTTATACTTCCGGTAATCATAACACAAATTTTTTGCACTGTAGTATCCAGTAATTTTTTATTTGCGAAATTAATTAACTGATATGAAAATATTCATTGAGATAGGAGTAGGAACATTCATTAATCACAATGATCTACATAAAAAATTTTCAGCCACCAGACTAATGGAGCCTAAAGAAAGCGATACCAATGACAGAGGTGCAATGCACGCTTCACTGAGTTCAATATAAATCACTTCGACGAATTGTTAAAATTAATTGTCCGATTTCTTTATCATTGTATATACGCCGTTCGTTAATCTCTTTTTAGGAGGCTTAGTCGACGCTCATGAGCTCGATCGTAGGCATTACTTCCTTAACCTTGCCTGGGTGCAGACCTCGTGTTACACCGCATTAACTTGTTGCCGTCTTCGGTGAAACCTTGCTTATCTTTAACTTAATTTGAGTTTGTACGAATGCGCTTTCATTTTGTTTAGTTCAGCTGATCAGCATGTTCGTACTTCTGTGTTCGTTCGATTAAATTCTTATTTTACTGGATTTACTCCAGTAGTTGAACCCGGTAGGGTTTGTGTAGCTCCGTGGAGCTTCATTGCTAATAATTGACTACAAGCCGTAGAGCTCTGCTTTAACTATGCATGCTTGCTTGCCGTGCTTTAAACTATTAGTTACGAACGAACACGCCTCTAACTATTTTCACTATTTCCTTCTTGTAGTTCTCTATGAGAACTCTTATCTTCGATTCCTCAACGATAACAAATAGGTTAGTTATATTCATTTTGCCCGTGTCACCATTGATTGAATCTTATTTGATTATTGTGCTGAAATTCATTGCATTATACTTTAGTTCAGCCATTCATAGGTATGATCTTTTCTCATCCGTCTATTCAGATAAGAATCCTCCCCACCACCTCCACGTTCCGAATGGTCTTCAGCCCTGCTGCTCATTCCTTTTGTCCGGCTGCTGACTTACGACTCGATTCATTAATACGTTTTGTTGCCTTCGGCAATTTGGTGAGAACTAGAGAGAGGGAGAGACGTTCATAAAGTGAAACAGTGACTTATTCCGTGCTTTAAATATTATGATCCTTAGATTCCTAATTTTCGAGCCTTTTCTGATATCTGTACGTGTATTATCCTGCAGTGCGACCAACATCTCTTATCGTTTCCCACTGCGTAAACTTCTTCGTTTTGCGTGAACTTCTTCGTTTTGCGAACCTCTTCAATAAATCTTCAACGCTTTCGAAATTGTTTGATTCCCATTTGTAACTAAATTCCAATAGAATTAAATTTCAATGCCTCGTGCTCATCGACGCAACTTTGCCCCATGCAACGAACCGCGGCACCACGTGCGGCGATGGGTTCAGGAGACGCGTTCAGGCGCGATCTGAAAGCCATCATCCACATCATACATTTCCATGCTCTTAAGTTTTCGGAGGAATATCAGACTAGATGTGACACGGCAAAAGAAAAAATTATTATATATCACTTAAATATTCAATTTGGGTACTACGTTTACAAACTTCATATTGAGGTTTAAATGATAGTGTGTAAAGTTGTCAAATTTGGCTGAATTAGATGATAATTCTGTTTAAAAATGAATAACACAATTCAAGCGACAAACCTTGACCGAAAGAAGTCTTTCATTCGCGTAACACTGATGAGACTGTGTCGTTTTTGCGCTCTCACCGCGCGAGAAGCACTGCGGCTCAATTGAGTGTAAATGACAGACGCCGTAACGTCGAGCAAAAAATTATGTGTGTGACAATGTGGCAATCTGTCAGCGGGAGCACTTAGCTCGAAAGTTTGATAGTTCTCGGTAATAATATATTGTGTCGCGAAGAAGTATTTATGTGTCACGAAGAAGTATTGCTCTTGAAAGAAAAAACTACACATCATAAACTTCGCACATAAACAAAAACAAAATGAATTGTTATTTTAAATCAATGTGACTTTTGTTGTTGCCTCAGTGCGACAATTTCAGGAATGCGCGGCTTCACCTTCGCAAGTGCCACTCTCATATCATTTTCGCAACAAAGTTTGTTCTTTTTCATCGTTTTGATGTTTACCATCATCGAAGAGGACTGCTCGCTAAGATTCGTACGCTGCGATTTAGAGACACCAAAACGTTGAGAGCGTTGTTGTTCTGAAGAGTTGCTGTTGAACCTGGCTTTCCTGCAGTCCAATGATTTCGTCTAGGTATTCATCATTCACATCTGCAGTCGCAACACTAAACGTGAGCGGCTGTCTCACCCATGCTGGGTATGAGATAACCGGACACGTCCTCGATCTTACTTACACTATCATCCAACAGGGGAAAGTTTGCAACGTCGTTGTTCGTCGTTTCCATAGCTGTAGCTTTTTTTAAAAAACCTCAGATTTTCTTCCGCTTCGATGATGTTGACTCCATCGCCCTGATGTCGAGCCCCAGAAAACGACTCACCGAACCCCTGGGGTTCGACCGAGCGCAGGATAAGAACCACTGGTATAGAAAGAATGAAATTAATAAAAAAGATTATTGTTCGCACAACCCATTCACAAATGTAAGTACATGTTCTTGTGATCCGCCCTATCCTCTGCAGATGTAACGCCTCTATTGCAGCCTCGTCAAAGTAACCATGTAAGCAAAGTCTGCTCTCGGTCGTATCACCGATACTAATAAGGCGCGCTAGGCCGCTAATCTTTACCAGCTATTCCGTAATCCCAGCAAATTGGTCGCATTCGTCCGCTGTTTTCGTCGCAGGTCTCGTGCACTTCTGGGACGCGCAGCTCGGGCGATAGGCAGATCCAAGCAACGGCTGCCAAGTCGGTGAAGGCAGGTATGTTGTTGGACTCATAATTTTTTGGAGCATAATTATTCTACGTCGAATGAGGTTTCTATGAATGTATATTCAAAGTTAATTACGTGCGAGTGTATATTGAACTGTGTTCCAGATCCACGCCCAGATAAGAGGTATCAGCATTTATTTATTCATCATTTGTCCGGAGAACACAGTTCCAATCATATAATAAATACATGAAAAAATGATAATTTGTAATGCATTGTAATACCAAAGCGGAAAGCTATCCAAAAGTACCAATGCATTTATTCTCACCAAATGATTACCTTGAAAAATTTGACATAAATTCACTGAAATAAAAAAAGTCGAGATGAAATATCAATTTCGTTCAAACAATTTATTAATGGCACTTCAGATATATACGTCCAATTGAAATAAATAACGAAATTCAAAACTAATCAACCGTAATACGCATTCTAGTTACAACTCAATTTTATTTTCAGAATGCTTCCCTCAAGTTGTGGCGTTACAATTTATCCTACAATTTCCCCCACACTATTACGAAGCATCGTGCGCCACCACTTCCACTCGGACTTTCACTAGCAATTTCAATTGTATCACAAAAATACGAGGAAAAGGTGCATCTTTTAAATCGATTGGTAATACCTAAGCGGTTTCACAGGAAAGTTTCTTAAAAGCTCCAATGCATTTATTCACGCTAGATGATTAACTTAAAATCATTTGATATCGAATCACTGAACTTGAAATGCTCAGCATGTCGCATTAAAAAAAAGATTTAGTACTTGTTGCATGAATAGAAAGTGATCGGATATGTTTTACATATAATTGAAGACATAATTATATAATGTATAATAGGATAAGTAAATCGTATAAACGTATAAATTTAGCAGAAGTGAAAAATTCATTTCCATTTGCTCTAACTTTTTCCGTCCCAAAACTTTTGACATCAAATATGGATTTCATTCCAAAATTGTGTGGTTCGCGCGTAGGAATTATTCACTCAATTTAAATCTTTATTTGGTATGTAAGAATCACAATTTTCTTCCTCAATACGCCGCTTAGTTACGATAATTAAATTATTGAGGTATTACAATCATTCTTCCTACAATCCCCCACAATGAGAGCATCTCTTCCACGCGGACACAACACCTGGACGTGAAGTCGTTCAACGCCGTCCCACTTGCATCAGTCGTTACCGTGTGAGGAACTTGCTGACGTTGACCGACTTACACGCTTGTTTGCTCGTAAGCCAGATATCTTTTTATGCTCAGCGACACTTTTGAGTCATTATTTATGATTACACCTGGGCTCATCTGGGGCACTTCATTAAAACGCAAAATAGGCAGAGACTCTTCCGTCCGCAGGGCTCTCCTTTGTATGCTGGGTAAAATTAAGAAGGGAGGAGGCCCTGTACTTTATTGAGGTGAAAGTACTGATTTATCTCGACGCTGAAATTTTGAAGAGGGAAACTGATGAATAATAATATAGTTCTATTAGGAAAGATCGTAACGTTTTGATATGATCGTGAAGTTTTAATGATGCATGACTTAATTGATAATGCCAATTATTTGTATCAAAAAGCCGGATAAGATTTGCATCAATTCGAGTTTTTGAACCTATTGAGGTGACTGTATCACAATTCTCGGTTCATGGAAAACACACGATTCACAGGGACGCATAAGGTGTCTTGATTAGTTGATCTGATCTTTCTGGTTTTTCGAAATAACTTGTATATAATTAAAAGATTAAATAAATGAGCAATGAAAGAGATTTCTTGACATTCGATGCATGGTTCATTAACCGCGATCTTCCGCACTGCATGTCAAGTCATTTTAGGTTTTACGATTCGACATAATATCAAATAAAACGTCAGAGTGCGTAAAGACTATACATGTTTAATTCAAATACATTGCAAGCTCCTGAAAATTTAATATAATTCCCGCAAGAAAATGAATGACCAATTTCTTTCATTAGTGATGAATATCAACCGATAACACGGTCATAATATCTATTGGATTGGTAAGGAGTCTTTGTGAAATAATAGAATTTTCTTGTACTCATTATACGAAACTTCTACTGGTTCCATAATTAAGGATCGACACTAGCAAAGCCTTCAATCGATCGCCCCTCAGCCGACGCCTTGCCGAGAAGTGACTTCAAGGCAATAGCAGTGCACAGTTTCATACGCAAAAGCTTCTCATTTTTTTCAAGAATGGCAACCGCAAATTTTGCTGAGAAATGTTTTCAATACACTAATAGTTGGTGTCGTCTTGGTTGATATATTAATCCTAATAAAATATTATATTTTATTTTTACCAAATTTATATAATGTCGAGCGCTGATTTAAAGCATGGGTCGTATTTTAAAATATGTAGCTTAATTTTATATACGGAACATGTTGGCTTGTCAAAAGTTATCTTCTTGAATGTATAAAAATGTTTGACAAAACACGTTCCAAAAATATTAAACCAATATTTCCGTGACGTCAAAATCCCATTTGTGAGAGCTAATCTCGTTGTAATGAGTCTTAAATAGAAGAATAACAGCTCATGCCATATCGAGTGCAGGGAGATCAGGAGACTGTCCATATCCTGATCACTTTGATCACGCTCTACTATAATCCTGTTTTGTTCAGCTGATTCCTCCGTCCGAAACTCATCCCGTCTTTAAAATTTCATGGAAGTTTCTATAAACCTTGGGTTTGGATTAAAACGGTTTTCGAGAGCATTTTTCATTGCTTTTTATGTAAAATATTCCCGATAAAAATACATCAATGAAAGCACATGGCTGACATGACTGGCATATACAGTCATGGATTTAATGCGTAAAAGCGATGTTCCAGCTTATTCCTCCGGCTTCTATGCAATGACAAGAATTTGTCGGGAGAATCTTTGCTACGTTTTTTTGGCTTTAAGGTAAAAATACAAGGAATATATTTTACCATATTCGTAATTTTTTGGCGTACTTTACCGAAGGACATAGTAAAATGACATAACAAGAAAGAACACGAAATCACGATTTCGTGATTCATACCTCAGGATACGATTCACTCAGGCCCGGACTTGCCTCACCAGCGTATCTTCTACGGCAGCAAATAAAAAAAATATGATTGGCAAATAATGAATTTCCCGAGAACGATATTTAAAGTGACAATATAAATTTTAAATTGCGCGATGATTTTCGAATTCCTATTTTCGCTTGCCAACACGCAGGATGCGCTCATATCCAGTGAGCGCTGCGTTCTGCCAAGGCCAGCCAAGACGCTGGGTGCGAGTGTTGGCGCGCAATCTACCCTGAGTAATCAACCTCCACCTACAATCTACCTCCAGTAATCGACGCGCAACTCTCAATTTTCATTTGCGTTTCGCTCCGGAAGCAACAGCCAGCGTGCGGAGCGACATACTCTCAATAGATCGATCAATCAACCGCTTGTCAATAAGCT